CCTCCTGTTGCCCCCGAAGAAGGTTCTCCCGCTTTAAGGAGAAGAAAGAGACAAGTGGGATTGTTTAGGTGGAGGCAAGAGGAGAGGGCTTGAAGGCTGTCAGACTTCTCTGAAGGCGCTAAATCAGCCTGAAGATAAGCCTTCCCCATGGCAGGGAAGCCAAAGGGTGCCTTTGCCTCCCATTCTGCACAATCTGCATTCCTGGCCTGGCTGGAACAACCCCAAAGCTGAGACAGCCTCTCCCAGGCTAAGTTGACACGAACTTGGGTAAGACCTCAGTATCTTGAGGATCTACAACCAGGAAGGAGGATAGGGCTGCACTGAGCAGAGAAAGGTCCTGAGGTGCCCAGCCCCCTGAGGACGATGTCAGACAGATGCTACATCAGAGAGGAGAAGCAGCCAGTTCAGTTGCCATGCCTGCTAACGACAGGGGTCAAGGAGGAGGATACCCTGCTCCCACCCCATCACAGTGCAGGACCACCAAGTCTGATGCCTGGGGCTGTGACATGGCCAGATGCTGCCCCACCCCCTCCTTCCCATGCACTCTGGGCAGGGGATTCATCTGAGGTCTGGCAGAAGGTAAGCGTCTCTACAGAGCAGGGGGACTGAAGATGGGACTTGGGAAAACTAGGAAATCCCAAATGGGACAAGAGAACGAGCCCAGTTTCCCTGCCAGGGAGCCCAGGCCAGTCTCTCACGAAGGAGTCGGATGTAGATTCTACAGTGGTCACAGCAAACTAGGGCTGGGCCAGGAAGAAAATGCAGAGCAGCAAGCTCAGACCTCGGGGCGGGCATAGACTGGAACCCTAGCAGGATCAGGAGACTGAACCCGCCACCACCTTTCAAACATCCCATCCCTCTGTCACCTCCTGCCCTCTCCCTCAGGACTTACCTTGGGGAACTGGTATGTGATCGTGGGCTCATATCCATCCTCAGAACGCTTTTTTTTGAGGGAAACCACAAGAAGGTATTCAAAGAAGTGCTGCCCCACAGCAAAGGTGGAGAGAGAGTGCTCCTGGGCCCTTTCTGGCTCTTTTACAGCAACCCCCGTATTGTTCTGGGGAGGTCCTGAAACCGAGACACGGGGGCCCATTCAGTATGTCATTGACCCGTACCCAGAGTGGAGTCTGAGAGAATCTGGGCAACTTCCACATTTCAAGGCCGCTGTGCCAACGCTGAGGTGTCTGGCATCTGCCCAGCACCGCCAGTCATCATGCAGGATCAGAGCCAACCGGGCAGTTTCCACACCTGTCCCGGAGACCCAAAGCCACGCGGGGTCCAGAGGAGAAAGAAACCACTGATGTAGAAATGTACTGAGGGAGCACAATGGAGGCCCAGTGGCCCAGGGTACCGGAGACTCTGTCTGCATTTAGGGTGCCTGAGGCAGTGCTGGAACTGTATGGCCTGAGAGTCAACTGTCTAAATCAACCCAAACAGGCCCAAGGGGCATGTGACTCTGACCACACTAACCCCCACAGAGGCAAGACTACTCTAAAAACCAGGAGGGAAAACCTCCTGACCCAGTCACACGAAGGACCATGTGCAGGTGGAAATATAAAGGAAGAGGAGGAAGGAGTGTTTTGCGGAAGAACAGCCCGGTTGAAGAAGGTCACCCTAAGAAAAAAGGAAGTGGGCAGTCCAGTCCTGACCTGCTCGGAGCCGAAGTAGCCGATTTCGGAA